TTCTTCCATAGCTAGAGAGATATGAGGAAAAGCTCTGGTATCTGCTGGTAGCTGGGGTGTTTGATTCCTGTTGGGTTTATGGGCTAGAAATTGAGTGTGGCAGGGTGATGGGGATTCTTTTGGGGACTTCGGGCTGTATGATTGCGGGATTTGCTTACACTGTCATGACTTGAAGTGCCATGGACAGTAGCCTGGCACAGCTTAGAATATCCTCAAATAAGGAACTTCGTAAGTCTGTGGTGCTGTTTCTCTTCCTCGCTTTCCGGTAATGGCTGGTTATGTAAAACAGTTGTGCCTGTGGCAAGTTTCCAGGAAGACAGTGAAATTGAGTGGTTATGGCTTGATGATGTGGATTTAAAATGTCAGGTCATATCGAGTGCCTCAGTTTCCCTACCTGTAAAATGATGCCTAGTTCTATAAAGAGCTCTGCAGCTCAACAATGAAGTGTTTGCCTACAAGACAGGTGAGAGCCGCCAGGTCCAGGAAAGGACAAATAAGCACCGTTTCATCTATTCCAATAATGATGTCATCCTGACTGCCAAAAATAAAGTTCTCATCTTTCAGCTGCCAGGCAGAGAAAGCAGTGCACAGGTTGGAACTTTTTTCCTTCTCAATGATTGATGCTTTATTGCAGTTTCTGCTTTGAAGACTTGAATTCACTTCTGACTCAAATGTGAGACATATTAAGTATCTTGACAGCTCACACAACAGGTCCATTGACTGATACTGTGTCTGTCCATCCAGGTGTGTGTATGGGACATGTCTTGGAATCCAGACAAGTTGTTAAAGGAGTCAGTCCTATGGGCATGTGGCTTTGCTGCTGGAAAGAGTATGTTTTCATAACCAGACAGTGTCTGATACAGCTGAGAGTAGTAACTCACAGGCTGAGCTGTGATGAGTGGTGAAGGGTCTGAGGGAAGGTGATGGTAAGCAGAGGCATTGTTCATGGGGTGGTGTCCTGGTTTCAGCTGGGATAGAGTTAACTGTCTTCCTAGTAGCTGGTACAGTGCTGTGTTTTGAGTTCAGTATGTGAAGAATGTTGATAACACTGATGTTTTCAGTTGTTGCTCAGTAGTGTTTAGACTAGAGTCAAGGATTTTTCAGCTTCTCATGCCCAGCCAGGGCACCTGACCCAAACTGGCCAACAGTGTATTCCATACCATGGGACGTCCCATCTAGTTTAGGAACTGGGAAGTGGGGGGGCAGGGATTCGCCGCTCGGGGACTGGCTGGGTGTCGGTCGGCGGGTGGTGAGCAATTGCCCTGCGCATCATTTGTACATTTCAATCCTTTTATTACTACTGTTGTCATTTGATTAGTGTTATCATTATCATTATTAGTTTCTTCTTTTCTGTTCTATTAAACCGTTCTTATCTCAACCCAGGAGTTTTACTTCTCCCGATTTTCTCCCCCATCCCGCTGGATGGGGGGGGAGTGAGTGAGCGGCTGCATGGTGCTTAGTTGCTGGCTGGGGTTAAACCACGACAGGTGGGCTCTTCTCTGAGGTGTCTTGAAGATGTGACAAGTGTGAAGAAGGGGTGAAAGCTGATTTGTAGGGTGGCTTAGCACTGTTGCTGTAGGGATTCTGGGGCCTGCTCCTGTTTATGGCAGCCTTGAGAGCTATTGAGAGTTCCCCCTAACAGGTAACCATATGCTACTGGCTGATTCTTGCTGCTATGCAGGGAGCTGCTGCTGACATGCTTGCAGTGTCTGGAGGTACAGCAGAACCCCACACTGCTTTTAGAGCAGGTGAAACCTTGCATGCTTTGCAGCTGTACCGTTTCCATGTGTAGCTCCCTACCAGGGAAGATAAAATGTGTGCTTGCAGTGTTTACTCTTGAAATACGTAGTATGTGGCCATGGTATGGCAGGGAGGACCTAGTTTGGTCTCTCCTGCACAACTATGGCCAGTGCTGCCTCTTTCGCCAAGATGGCACGGCACCACCAGCAATGGCTTGTTTTGGGGGAAGCATCCACAGAATTCTCTCTTGTGAAAACTGGCATGCGTGGGGGCAGAATGAGGTCTGTCCTTCTGCACTGACAAGTAGCTGGTGGATGTGCTCCTCTGACTGTAACTATGTTTACTTAACATAGGCCTCTCCACAGTCCTGCGTCCCAACACAGTGTTGAGTTGGAATGGACATGCCCCACACTGACTCTTCAGAGCTGATTTAAGGGTCCTAAACTTGTGTTTAAAGTAACCCGTCCATTTTTTTTTCTAAGAAAGATGGAAGGAACTGATCCAAAAATCTGGTTGTAGTCTTCTCTGTTGAACATTTCAAGGCATCTAGTGGTTTCTTAGAGGCAGTTGTTAACACATGAAGCTCGCTTGTCTAATGAGTGATTTGAAAGTGTGAAAAGGAACAATGTATTAAAATTCATTGGTACTTCAATTTTTAAAAAAAAAAATCATACTCCATAAAATTAATTCCAAGACTTTCAGCTGCCCTAAAGCAGCTTTAACAAATGATCTAGTTTTACTCTGAATCTGAATGCAGATGGTGTTTGTAGCCTTTACATCCATCTTTTCTCATTCTCCAACTAAAGATTATTTTCACACAATATAAGGTAACTTTTTCTATCCACCAGGAAGTGTCTTAATCTGAATCTAAAACTACCAAGATTCCAAAGTCTTAATGATCAAAAACTTCAGGTGGCATCAGCATGATTACATTTGACTGGGGTTTGCTCTGTAGGGGTCCCATTTTTTTTGAGATTCTATTAAGGAATTTGACTTCTCAAGAGGAACTTTGTGACTATCCAAACCTCTTGCATTGATTCAAAGTAATTATCTAAAACTTGAGGTTTCTGGAATTACTAGTTCACTAAAAAAAAAAAAATTGGCTCTGTATTGTAGTAGTAGGGAGCCATTTTGTGGTGTGAGAGAAATCCTTTTTCCTGTTCTCTGGTGTGTTTTTGACCACCCAAGCAGCACTTTATTAGCTGAGGGCCGGAACCCCTAAGGGACTTTCACTGCCTGGGTGGTGATTCTTTGATTCAGGGAAGTGTTGATGAAGGTATCTTCAAGCTTCTTTGTCTTAATTTTTTTACCATATAAGTACTTTGGAGTATGGTGAGTTTTTTCTTTTTTGTCTGTCTTATCTCTGCTCATGTGCAGGAGTGGACAAACTTGCAGTCTGCAACTGTGATGGGTGACTTTTTTTTTAATTTCTCTATTTCTGTGGACTTGCCCTGAGGAGTGTCTAACTTTACATAGAGCTGAGATGATCCCCTGAGGGGAAGGGAAGAACCCCCATGTATTGTAGGTCTCTTCCCCCTGCACACCCATTAACACCTCCGGGTGCAGCAGGTACCCTGGCAGGGCAGGGGCTGCTCAGCCCCTTTCTGTCTGCATTGAGGCTCTTGTCCAGGTATTTTACTTGCACAGGGCACCCAGGGAGGACCTTTCTGCCATAACCAGCGTATAGGCTTCTGCCTCTTTTTGAAAAGTGTAAGTGCTTTCAAAACACGGTATTTGGGTCTGTAGAGCTGTAGCCAGGCACCTTTCCCGCGCGTTTCCAGGAACTGATATGAGGAATGTGCACAGGCAGACAGGTTCAAGCTCCTTTTACAGCTTCTAGTTACCGGTAAGCTGGTGTGGATAATGCACTTGCAGAGCCTTGTGCCAAGCTGCTATGCCCTGCCTTTCCGGGCCTAGCTGTATGGGCATGCCCAGAATAGATCTGGATCTTTTTGTCTGACTTGTATTTTCTGCTTTGGGAGTGGAGCAGTGTGCCTCTTCCTTCCCAGACTGGAGTGGTCTGTGCCTCTTCTTTTAAAGCAGGGAGTGGGAAAAGACAATAGGGTATTTCTTTTTGGTTGCCTCTTTCATGAGTGTTTGGACTGAACCAAATGAGTTTCCTGGCAGTGTGAAATAGTGTGACAAAAGAAGTAAGAAATCTGGGTTTTAAAGTCACATTCTGAGCTTTCCTTGGAAAGATGTGGCAGGTGGCAAACCTCCCAAGGAAGTGTCTTGACTTCTATTTCTACTCCATCCTCTTGCTGTAAGAAAGATTACGTTGGTCCCTCTGCAGACTGATGTTTTATGTAGTTCTGTTTGTTGCCACCTGACTGTGTTCAACTCGCCCTCCAGCAATTTACTGGAATTCTCATCAATGAGAAGTAGGTCATCCTAGCACAGTTTGGCTAGGTTTGAGTGGAAGAGGTTTCACTGTAAAGTTTTTGTGAGTGAGAAATCTCTTTGGTGCTACTCGGCTAGTTTCACCAGCACATCTGGCCGCTTGTGTGCAACTTGCAGCTGTAGTGTCTTGTGTTGCATCACACTTCTGCCAGAACTGCAGGAGAACCTCTGCCTCTCCGTGCATGTAGTGTGGCATGAATGGAAGATGGTGCAGCTTCTTGCACCTTGAAAGATGGGGGGATTTGTTCAGCCTGTACTCATGTTGTGAAGTCAGCTGGCTATTACCAGCCCGAATTAGCCAGCATGGGTTAATTTAACCAGCTGAAGAGTACTGCTGTGGTCTCACATGAAGCTTTTGGCATAGGCTAGAGCTGGGTGGGAATGGCAATACTGGTAGAGCCCAAGAAGGTTGCTGTGATGAATGTAGGTTTCGTGGCAAATGGTATGTGGGCAGCAGAGGCTCAATACTACTTCAGGCTTCCTGTGGTCTAAGCCATGATGGTTCAGAAAGTGGTGTTTAACTCAGCAGGAGCTAGAATCAGGATATCAACTGTTTACTAGTTGTAACATGAGCACCTTGGTTTTGGGCTGAATTACTTTGCATTGAAAATAAATGTTACATATAAAACCAAAATATATGCAAGTGGAGGCTTTGCCTAGCCTACAGAAATGTTGCTGATGTGGACAAGTCCCGAGGAGTTTGCACAAAGCCAAGGTTCTGCCACAGACTTAATGCTAAATCCCTACCTTCCCCTTAATCTCAGGGATTCTGTGTCAAGTTCTGCAACCTGAATTAACATCTGACTCTCCTCCAGCAAAGTCAAGCCCAGGAGAAGGGTTACCCTGACCTGTTTCAGAGCCCTGTCAGGTCCCAGAGGAAAGGACAGAGAGGACTGCACTCTCCCCAGGCAACAAACTTTTTAGGGTAGAGGTGAGTAGCACCAATAGAGATTTGAATGGAACAGAGAAAAACACAAAGCAGTAAAGGATAAGCCTGTGTTTTAGGAAGCTTATTAGTCTGATGTAACAACTATGTAAAAAAAAAGAGCTCATGGTTAAAAGGCTGCCTGTGGGCTATTGTGCATTTCAGATGTATTTGAGATTGTGTTTTGGTCTTAAGGACTTCTAAGAGCCTTTGAAAAGTTGGGAAATTTGTGGTCTCTCGAAATTATTACTGTGGTTTCCTTCAGAGTTTGAATTAATTTCTGCTTTCACTTCCTCTTTTCCATCAGCACACTTAGTTATTTAAAACACAATTGTGAGGGGTTGTTACTATGAAATAGGATCATTCATCACTAGCCCAGGTCTTTGATGGTTAGCAGGCCATCTGTTTGGGCTCCTTGGTGCTCTCACCCCATTTTTGGTCAGAAGGTACACGTGTAGCAGCCAGCTTATTGCCCTGGGTGAAGAAGGCCTGGTGGGAAGGTAGTGCTCACTTTCAGCCAGGCCCTGCTTATCAAGAGTTGAAGCCAGCTTGCACCAGAGACTTGTGAGCGCAGCTGTGTGACCGTTGCATCTAAGGCAGCAAATGCAAGGTTCGCAAACAGGATTCCTCTCCTGCCTGCCTTGGCGTCCGCTGTGCTGCGCTCACCTTTCTTGCTCTGGGACTTCCTGTACCAGATGTGACTGCTTGGGCTGCTGGTCTGACCTGCCGTCAGCTACGCCTGGCTGGATGTGGAGGAAGCACTGTGCTCCTACCAGCTCCCCTTCCGCAGTGGGTGAGGGAGGCTACCCTCTGCACCGTGCTGTCTGCACTCGCTGTGTGCCTCTTCCCTTGGGCACTGCCCAGCCACAAGGCAGGCCCAGGGCTGCAAGCCCTGACCACGTACCATGGGGGCAGGGGATCCTGTGACCTAGGTCCTGTTTTCTCCCTTCCTAGCAGGCGTCCCTGGAGGCTTAGTGGAGTTGTGCTCATGTAACTAGAAGCCTTTGGTGGCACTTGGTCCAACCTTCCCCGTCCCTAGATATTTGTTGGGACAGTATTGAAATAAGCCTGAGTATACACATGTATCTCTGCACAGAGGGTGGAGGGAAGGCACACTTGAAGTCCTGCAGATGTCTAGCAATGTCAGCTGGGTGTTTCACTTCAGAATATGCTGCTGTACACACAGACCCACGCAGCTTACCTGCTCTTAGTAGGTACTCAGGAACTCCTCTGGGCTAACACTGCTTCCCAGTCCAGCCTCTGGCACTATGAAGGGTTGGCCCTCCCTTACCCAGCACCACCTCTTGGCTTTAAAGCCCCATTTGTAGGTTATGTCGCTCCCCTGTCTTCCACGCGTCTGTGGCAGGAAGGTGTTTCATGCCCTTCATTCACCTGAATAGGGCCCTTACTGCTGGGACAGTTGTGGTTTTCTCAGCCTTTTTTTATGACTGCCAGTGTGTGATAGGCAGCCCTCTCCAGAAACACAGATACGCATCACTAGGAAGGTCATTTTCTGTGAGATGTGGCCAGACCTGTGAGCACTGCTGTGAGATGTGGGTTTATGGGAAAGTTTTTTCCTTTCACCCTTTTCTTTCTTACTCTTTTGCAGGGCAAGGACTTCTGGTCTGAAGCAGAGGGTGACAAGAACTGCTCTGTCTCTGAATCTATCATGGAACAGGTTAGATTCAAACATAACTGAAGTCAGTGATTCACAGTGACCAGCGGTTCTCTTGTGCACTTGTTCTGGGATACCTTGAAGGGGATAAGTCTCAAAAAGTGCTGGCTTGTGCCCTTCTCATATTCCCCAGAGCTCCTGCAGGGGCCTTGACACTGACCTGAATACAGACAAGTGGATGGAACCACTTAGTTTGCAAGCTGCTTCCTTGTTACCTCACAGTGTAATACCCCCTTTAAACTGCAGGCTGGAGATGTAGCTATTTAAGAGACTACAATGATTACTGATAAAGCTACAAACTACTAAAACTAATAAATCAATTAATAGACACACCACTGTGATCAATTTATTGCATTGTTTTGTGCAATATTAAACACAGTTATGAAGCTACTATTTATCACACTTAAATCTTAACTACATTGAACGGCTATTGAAATGTCTGACGTGCTCCTTACCCCACCTAGTGTTAGGGTACAATTATAACCTTCTTTGCTCTGCCCTCCCACAAGCCTTTTGAACATAAACCTGATGGCTTGTCCAGTGGGTTGTTCAAGAGGATCGCCACTGGTGCCCCAGTGAGCTTGGGTCACCGGGTGAGCTTCTCTACTGTCTGTAAACATCCATGCTCAGATCATGGAAGATGTGCCTTCTGTTGATCTTTGATCGCATACCTTATTTTCCATTTGTTTCCATTTCTGGACTCTCCTTCTTGTAGTCTTTTTTCCTCCTTTTCTCTGCCCAGTCTCCTTTCAAGTAAAGAACCCGTACTTAATTACTTTTTATGCTTTATTTTGTCCCAGTTTTGCTAGTGTTGCCTAGGCAATATGGGTCCTGTATGATATTACTGATATGGTTATGTACACATAGGTGGCCTTGCAAGGTTCCACTCTCCCAAAAGGTACCTCAAACTCCCTTTCAATTATCAACTTCATCCTGGTTGCATATTGATTACCCCGTGCAGTTGGCAAGACAAACCATTCTACTTTAGCCTTGATTCTTCTTCCTAGTTACAAATAAGCCTAAGCATTTTCTTATCTTATAGGCAGACAGTCTGCATACCAGACTAAGGATTTTCTTTCTCACTTTATTTCTGTGCTTACACAACATCCTGCTCTCTTAGCTGCTTAATTAAAATTATTTGACAGTCTCCTGGTTTTCTACAGAGGCCTTAGTTGGTTATGAGGCCCCATGTTCCAGTGGGACCTCTTGCTCGCATCAGTCTGCCTCATGGACTTCCTCAACCTAACTAATTTGGGCACCCTGTGCCGCCTTGCTTGAAGGTGGCAGGGTGCGTGGCTGTGGAGGCAGCATGTGCCTTTTTACTGCGGGTGAATATGCCAGTGTAGATGATAGCAAGCACCAATGATCTGCCATCTTACTGTCACTATTCTTGTGAGCAGCTGCTTGGCTCTCTACAGGGAGCTGAACAGGTTTATTATGGAGCTAGTTGAGATCCCTTTGAAGAGGGAGAAGAAATGTGAACCTTGGGTTTTTTTGCAGGCTAGTGCTGTTATCTCTGTTTCCCACCTTGTTACTGCTATGCTCTGATTACATTTAAATGGTGAGCTGCTGGCTTCATTATGCACAGGAAGTAGAATGCTCAGTTCCCAAATACAGGGGTAAAAAACTTCCAAACACAGATCTCTGAATAGGGGGAAGTGGGGTGGTTTGTGCTGGGTACACATCTGTTTCAAAAGAGGAGCTCTGATCAGGGTTTCTGTTATTGCCACAGCTGGAAATGTGAGGAGAAGGTGAGCTGACTCTTCCACCACTGATTTGTAAGAACAGAGGCATCTATCATTCAGTCACCATCAGGCAGTTCTGTGTGGGTACGCATCCAGGAGTTAGTATGTGTTTGCTGAAGTCTTGTAGACTCCCTGGCTACAGCTATTCAGGATGCCCAAAGGAGGCCAGAGAAATGTGTTCAGGGTTGGAAAACAGCATATGCATAGACCTTTTGAGTGGGACTTTGCCTAGGCATGGGCTTAACAGTGTTTTTTCTTTTGTTTAAGATCAATGGATCTGTCCAGATGGAGCGTGTGCTGCTGTACACCTTCCTGGAGGTGTCCTCTGACTGTAAGTTCAGAGAGCAGCTGCATTCCCTGCAAAGCCAGGGGATTGTGCCTTTCCCAAAAGGCAGCTATGGCTATGATGATGAGGTGGAACTTCAGACTGATGGCAATCGGAGTGGCCACTTGCAGAATGGTGAGCTAGGTGAGTGTTCTTTTCTCCATCCTATATGCCTCTCTGAAGGTGATGTTTTTGTTTCCCCTTTTCCCATCTTTGCTGCTGGTCTGTTTCAGAGGACTAACGTATTCTCCATTGAGAACCTTCACAGTGTGGGTGGAGGTGGTGGCTGGGAGTTTAAAACTTGGGATAAGACAGCTAGTGCTTAGCACTTTATCTCCCTGTGGATTTCTAGAGCAGCTGTCACCCTGGGGTTTGTCTGCAGCACATCAGACAAAGGCCACAAAGCCGGTACTGATGATTGCTGTCCTCAAGGAGTGTGATATTAAGCAGTTAAGTTAGGCCTCACATTGTTCCTCAGGCAGTATCAGTACTTGGGCTAGGATTTTGGAACAACTCTTGTTCTCATACTGTGTGAATCCCTTTCTGCTCTACCAGTGTGGTGGAAACTGTTCCTCAAATAGTTTCTGGTACTGTTCCTGCTTCACTAGCCATCTGCAGGATGGCTGTTGTCCCTTGCCCAGGATGTGTCAGCTGGCACATTGACCTCAACCTGAGCAGGGTGAGGAGGAACTGCTACAGTAAATAGCCCTCCCTCATACAAATCTGCATAGGTCTTGTGCCCCAAGTGACAATGGGAAGCTTTGCCTTAAACTAAAGGAGGGTAGATTCAGACTAGATATAAGGAAGAATTTTTTTTTTTTACGATGAGGGTGGTGAAACACTGGAACAGGTTGCCCAGAGAGGTGGTAGGTGCCCCATCCCTGGAAACATTCAACGTTGGGTTGGACGGGGCTCTGAGCAACCTGATCTAGTGGAAGGTGTCCCTGCTCATGGAAGGTGTTCCTGCTCATTGTAGGGGGGTTGGACTAAATGACCTTTAAAGGTCCCTTCCAACCCAAACTACTCTGTGGTTCTATGAGATGCTGTATTTTAGATGGTGCTTAAGAGACAGGTCCTGACAGTAGTCACTTGAAAAAAATCATGCACACTCTCTCACTTCCCCTCTCTAGGCATGGTGTTGGCTGTAGCTCTCCTGTACAAATTTTAGTTGGAGATGTTCTAACCTCCTCTGTAGTGTTTTTTTGGGCAGGATGAGGCTGCACTTTACCTAAACTACAGATAAAAAACCTGTTTGCACACTGTCTCTGGTAAATGAGTTGAGTGCACACAAGGGAGTTCTAGTGTGTAGAGCTGTCACGAATGCACTATGATTGCAGGTGGGGTGGGAAGGATGTTCTTAATGGAAGTGGGCAAAATGCTATGGGTCAGCTTACCCGCACCAAACCTAGTCTGACTACAGCCTAACTAAATCCTGTGTATGTGTTGGCAGTGTTTGACCCTGAGGTAAATGAAGAAGTTATCCGGATCATTGCTGCTCAGCTTGCTGAGATTGGAGACCAGTTTGATAAAGAAATCAAAGCAAGAGTAGTAAATGATCTAGCGCAGCACTTTCTAAATGAGAATCTGTCTGGAGAGGTGAGTGAAAAGCAACTTGACTAACAGTTTCCCTTTTAAATGTTGTGCATCCTTCCTGCTGTGACTTTCAAGCAGCAAGCTTGCAACTTCTGTACCTTTGCTAGTTTGCTGATTTAATTATTGCCATCTTAAAATTCAGCCCAAACACTTACCTTTGAAGATTTGTTAGAGGTGATGCTATATACTGTGGCAGCTGTTGCCCTGCAAATTGAGTTCCTTGGACTCGTCTCCTTTCTTCAGATGGTGAAATTGAGGTAGTTGTGGAGAAGGACTGACTTTCAGAGGCATTTTGTTGGCCAGATGGCTTATCTTTCAAAATCAACTGTCTGGTTAAGGCTTGGTATTTGTCCTTATGATCTTTGGACTTTGGTGCTAAGTCCTGTATGTCTGCTGCTTGTCACGTGGGTAAAACTTGAGCAGTGTTAGTGCCAGAAGCTTCACTTGTGCTTGTTTACTGAATACTGAAGAGACAGCAAGTAGTGAGACCTCTTTGATGCAGTTGCTCTCCCACCAATAGATGTGATGTAGTCCCTGGTCCAGCATCCAATGTACCTCACTGCTCTGCAAGGGAAGTAGATGTTTGAGGTCCCTTGTGTCAGACACCCCTCTTTTTTTCTTTTTAAGGATTGGATCCACATCTGGATCAAGAGCCACAGTTTGCTTCCACAGAGCCTTTTTGGCATCTTCAAGATAACTGTGGCTTTCTGGCACGTTTGGCTTTCCCTACCTGTGATGAAGTTTCCTATGCTCTACAAGCTAATGCTGTCTTTGAATTGAGGGTCCACCTTCTTGCTGAAAAGGCTGGATTTAATGACTTCAAACAATCTTTTTTGTGGTGTGGGTTTTTTCTACTAGGGTTTATCACCTGCACAGATTCCAACAAAGTCTGAGCATTTCCCACTCCTGCTGTCTTGTTCTCCACCCAGTTAAGTTTCCGGCTTTCAAAGTTATTGTCTAACCTTTCAGTCTTTGATAAGGCTGAGACAAAGCTAACTTCTGACAAGGTGGACCTTGCTTTTTCACATTAATAGTGTAGCATAGTATGTGCATACGCACATTGTCCCTATTGGGAAACTGAACTTCCACTGATCTTGGGAGCAAGGCAGTGTTTGTTCCATGCTTGGACACTTTCTGTAGCTCCTCCCTGTGTGAAGGCTTTTCTATGAAACTCACTTTGCCTTCTTGCCAGTCCCCACCTAAGCTTGTACCCCTGATCTTCACCATGTTTAAGGTGGGTTGCCCTTTCCTGGGAGCCCCAGGATTCCTGTGCCATTTCAGGACTTGGCAGGCAAGGTGCAAACCCTGGGGAGGAGGGGGGCTGTTGCAGCCTGAGTGTGTAAGGTGCTATCTAAATTTTCTAGTGGTATGTGTGTTATCTCCCTTTCTTTTTGTCTTGGGTGAGCAGCTGAGCTCAGAGATAGTCATCCTTCTTGCTATCCACGGTGTGTAAGAGGCAGGCTGCTGGGCCTGGGAGGAAGGGGAGCGGCATCCTGTGGGGTGTTAGAACAAGCTCATCAGTTACCAGCACAGTGCTGGCAGGCTGTACTGAGACCCCTTTCTCCCACAGCTGTTCCACTGAGATCCTTCTCTTCCTTCCATACAGGAGATAACCCAGCGCATGTCGGAGGCAGTGGAAGGGCTTGCACGAGCCATCCCCTCAGACATGGAACAGGAGAAGGCCATGTTGGTGCTAGCAATGGTCTTAACTAAAAAAATTGCGAATACAATGCCTTCCCTTCTACAACGTGTCTTCAGCACCACTGTGAACTACATTAGCCAGCAGCTTCACAACTACATTGTTAGAATGGTAAGTGCTGTCAAACACATTGTTAGAATGGTAAGTGCTGTCAAACAGCTCAATGAGAGTCACAGCCAGCCTCTTAGCCTGCCTAGGTTATTCCTGGAGGGGTGGCCTAGCTCTCAGCTGCCCCTGGTCTGCTGGTTTCCCTGTAGTGCTCTGGAGTTTTGGCCAGAGGGGAATGTTACTCCCTGTGGAGCTCTGAAGGTTGGTGTGCTGAGGGAGGGAGGCTTGAGGAGAACATGTCACAGCTTCTGCTTGCCCCATTCTGAGCAGCCAGTGAACAGAGTGCATTTATTCTGTAGGGCAGAGAAAGATGCGATCAATCCTCTCCTCCCTGCAGTCTCTTCAGGGAGCTGTGTTGATAAAACTGGTGTTAATCACGCCCTCAGGGAAGGAAAGCCTGACCTGAGCTCTGATGGCCATATTTCCCAAATGTCTTGGGCCTGAGGCCTCTGCTCTTGTCTTTCGGGGCTCCCCAGAGCTTGGCAGAACTGGAAGGGGAAAGGAAGTGCCCCTGAGAAACAGCACCAGCAAAGGAACGATGAGAAATGGGCAAATGGGAAATGGAAGCTCCATTCTTGTTCTCTGTTGGTGCTGCAGCATAGGTGGGGAGACTAAACAGGTAGCAGTCAAGCCAGGGTAGAGTCTAGGGCATTTGGCCCCAGCTTCAGTAACCAGCTTGTCAGGGAGGGCAGAGGACGGACACACACACACACACACACACACACACGGGATGGGGACACACACACATGGGACTTCTTAAGAATGGGATTTGAGAGCGGTGAGGGCTGTGATCCTGCCACCCCGTGGAGCCGTGGTGACCCAGTTGTGAGGTGCTGCAGGTCTGTGGGACACCCCTGCACTGCAGCCTTGCCATAGGCAGCATTGGCAGCAACCTGCAGAGGGGCCCAGCTCACCCTATGTCACAAAACAAGGCAGCTGCCTCGCATGGCACCCCTGTTCTCTGCCAGGCAGCAAGGCGCAGTGTCACTGCGAAGTGTTGCCCTCCCCTTCACTCAGCTTAGCTCAGGGGTGCCAAGTTATCACAGAAACCGGTCACCAGCTTAAGGGACTGGCCCTCATGCTGCCTTACTGCTACGTGGAGTGCTGCCGCAGCAGGCTAATAGGACAGTGCAGGGAGGGCAGAAGGGCTGCTGGTTGTCCACCCACCCTGGTGGGGTGGCCTTGGCCTTAGGAGGTGGACAGAGCTGGGCCATTCCACGCTGTTCCCCTGGGACCTGTGATGCCAGCTCTCTCCCTGCCATCAGCACAGAAAGGGGCCTGAGGGGTGATGGTGAAGGCCGATGTGCAGCACAGCAGGTGGCAGAGCTGAGGCACGGCTGGTGGCGCTGGGGACACCCAGAAGCGGCCGTTGCCGCTGCTCTCCCTCCCCTGGGCCGGCCCAGGTCCGCCGGCGGGGGGGCGGCTCTGCTGCTGTTAATGCTGGTTCTCTTTCTCTCTCTCTAGCTGCGTGAGTGAGCTCTCCAGCCCTCTGTGTGGAGAATGTGGATTCCTGAAGACTTCTCTTGATGTATATGAATCACTTCTTTTGCTCAACTTCTGAGATACAGCTGTGAAAGGGAAGGCAGAGCTTCATAGATAGGCTTTTGTAGACTAGCACAGCAATGACGGTAGTGTGAGCTGCATGCCAGCTCTGCCAGTACCTGTAAGGAGTAGCGCTTGCCCTCTCTCATTTTACAATAGTTTTTTTCTTTTTTTTCCTGTTTTTTTTCTGGTGTTTTTGGGTTTTTTTAATCTTAGCAGTAGCAGACTTTGTGCAGACCCTGGTTTGTGCCTCCAGAGGAAATGCTGTGGGCACAGAGTCTGCCCTCTCAGTATTTTTTTCTAATAAGCTGTAGTGTTTTGCTTTAGTTATGCTCTTCCCAGCCCCGCTCCTTGTGCTGCAGCTGAGCCATGCTGAGTATTAATTGTTCCCAGGAAGGCCTCAGGCTGTAGAATGGGTGGTTGATCAGCACAGATTGCCAAGGGGGGGGTGGGAATCGGGTCTATCTTAGAGGGGAGCTGGCAGCAAGAGGGAGCAGCCCTAAAGGAGGTAGGAGTGTTTGGCCAGGGAAGGCTGAAGTAAAGATGCTTCAGTATCAATCACCATAAACCTGTGCTTGCTTGAAAAATCAAACAAGAAACGGTAAAGAAAAGGGCAGGTGTAGGTACAGGCCACATTCTTTCAGGGAACACAACCTGGATATGCTTGAGGAAAAGTATTTAGCTTTAGAGTATCTTGCTATAAAGAGAAAGAAGGTATCAGCCTTGGACCAGGAAGCATACCTGGCATCTCTTATGAGTGTATCGCAGTCACATCTCAGGATCAACAAACTTGGACTCGGGTTGTTTGATACATACCTGTAGTCCTACACAAGGTGGCAAAAGCTTTACTGGTGATCCAGCTGCCTCAGAAGTTTTGAAATGATGTAAATATTTTGTGGAATTTTTTAACTTAAATAAAATTGTCAGTTCTCATGGCAATACAGCTCTTAAGAATTTCAATTTCCACCTGGATTTTTTTGGCCTTGTCGGTAAGTATTCATTGCAGTGCAAGTACTGCATGCTTATGATGCAGCTGGCAGCAATAGAGACATTCTGGTCCTGGCCTTGTGCCTTGCATGAGTAAAACATCTTTTCTTTTTTTTTTTTTTTTTGGTCTTTTGGTGCCTGCACTAGAACAAGGAAGGGAAAAAAGCACATAAGTAGTCTACACATTGTTTTTGAAAACTGTACCATTTATTAAAGTGCAACCTGGGGGCATGGTCTTAACAGCAGTGTCCCATTAGCAGAGGGAAAAAATGTACATACCCCTTCACTTCAACTGAATATAGAACAATGAAGCTGGAAAGAACTTTCTTTTAAAGGTGGAAACACTTTTATTAACCAAATGGCACAAGAAGCTTTAGACAGTTTTCCTCAAGAGGGCTGTACTTGCATATTAAAAGGAACAATATGACCAGTTCCTTGGATAATGGGTGACTTGAGGACCAGTCAGGGTCTCTTCCCCCAGGCAGGCCTCTTGAGAACAGAATCTGAAATCCCTGCAAGTCATCACCATCTGCTTACACCCAGCAGAAGCCTAGTAGAAGATATCCCCTAACATGCATGCTTCAGAGTCAGTCCCATTAGTCTTTGCTACTTAACAAATCAAGTGGCATTCTTTTGGTCTGAGTGGGTTTTAGCTTTACACTTGAATAAAAGCTTATGCTGTGAGTTAAAAATGGGGACAGACCCCCTTAACGGTATAGCAGTAAGATGCATCCTCTGCAGCTTGTTCTGTCCCAGTCACTAATGTTCCTTCCTGCCCCTGCAGATACTGCAGGGAGATCAAAAGCAGCTTCCACTGGAAGCTAACTGTAGCTCCCCCACTTCTACAGCATAACCATAGACCTCTAGCTTGGAGGAAGCAAGTCAGCCTACCTAAGAGACCGAGAGAGGGTCACCTCTAAGTAGGAAAAAAAAGTGATAAAGTTATTTAACTTAAGGAGGCGGATATGAGTGATGTTGTGTTGTAGTTCCCCTGGATGTATTGGTAACACTACAGCTGACCCCTTCCAAGCTGGTGCAGCTCTCATTCCCTGGCCAAGTACACTAGTCAGGAGAGTTCACTTCAGCAGAGGCAATCCGAGTACCATTGCCTAGAGCTAGCCCTGCAGTCCCTGCTCTGTATGGGCCTGAGAGCTAGCTCTACCAGAGTCAAGTAGTGGTGGCTTAAATCTTATAAACCTCCCCCCTCTTTTTTTTTTAATGGCAATACAGAGCTTGCACTTTGAAGCACAGATCCATATATGGAGTCAAAGCAATACTGTTCTTGTAACCTTTCTGGTGCTGAAATTACACAGACCAAGCCAAACTGAAGTCGTGAACAGCTTCTGCCTTCACCAGGTACAGGAGATAATGTGCCTCACCTCTCCATGGTTCACTGGGAAACAATTTCTCCTGTTGTGTAACCTACGGGCATAGACACTACTGCTACTGTATGTGTCTGCTCCTGTTTGTTGGAGTAGACACATTTGGATGAGTCAACCTTCAGTATGTTTCATGCCTGGAATGAGACATTCTGCTGAAGACCTGGGCTCTACCTAGGCATGGCAGCTGGGGCTGTGTTCACCCCCCACCTCCCCTATTTCACAGCAAAAGAATCTAGTAATTACACTCTCAAATTCTGTAGCATAAGCTTGCTCTGGTTTGGTGCATGAGAGACTATGCTGCCAGAAGCACTTCTATTTTTTTTGCCAGAATAGCAAGATCTACCTAGTAGGGCTTTGCTAGTACTGCCATACCACTGTAGCTGAAATTAAATGTAGGGAAGGTTTATGACCTCAGATTATTTTGTCTACTACAATCATTAAAATGAAAAAAGACCAAACTTCAGAACCTTGCTTGTTTAGTACTCATGAAATTTTTCATTTGTGACCATTAGAAAGCATTGATTAGTTTAAAAATACAGTTCAAAGTGTTAGCCTAGCTGTGATCAGAGCTATGTGAAAAGGAAGGAATCAGGAGAACTTGCCCTATGCAAGAGCACTCAGCACTATAGGTTTCACCTGGCCCTTGAGCTGCAGATGCCTGAGCACAGCCCCCCCAGCCAGGATGAAAAAATCAAGCCCTCACAAACAGCAAGGATGGATTCTTGCAGTAGTAATTTGCTCTCCAGAAGGCAGGTTAGGAAAGAAAGAACCAGCTGCAAACACCACAACAACAGGCACTTCACCTCCAGCCAGATGTTAAACTGGTGTCTAAAACCAAGTGCAATACTGAACAGAGAACATGCTTCCACTGCATCGTCTGGCTCTGTGCTAGGAGCGAGCTTCTGTTCAGACTGGCAAGTACCTGGAGCAGGCAGCTGCTTGATTCATATCTGAATGGACAGAAGGCTGCAGAAGTGTTGCTTTCTTGGCTCTAGCCAGATTTTAAATCTAAGTTATTTTCAGTATTTTTCAGCAGCCAAATTATCACCCTGAGAACACCTACTCGGCATCCACCCAACCCGATGAGAACCAAAACCTTAAGTTTTCAAGCTGCCTCTCTGGCTGTGCCCAGTAATATTCCTATTTTGCCCTAGCTGAGCAATTCAGCACTGCTGTGCCAACTACAGCCCTGCAGCCTGGATCTTCTGAAGTTCAAGGGATGCAGGAGGCAGGGGTCCACCAGGCTCTCACACGGCTGCAACAGGCAGCAACGTGGGTCTGTCTGGTTTGGGCTTTTATGCAGCAGAGGGCTTCTGGGTTTCAGTCTTTCCTCCCAGCCTATTGTTCCAGGAATGCTTGCTGAAGACAGCCCCTGCCCAGCTCCCAGCCACAACAACCAAGCATAGCTTAAAGTTAAGCACAACTGAAATTTAAGTAAGTAAGTTGCACCTTATCTTGAAAGCCTTTTCCTTGACAGCTCCTTATTTAGCATGCTATCCACTGCAGTTCCTTAAGTATTAAACACTTTTTTGTAGATCCAGTCCTCTGCTGTTATAGCATCTCAGCTTTAGGGTGTGCTGCAGACAAGGATAAAGTGAAGAAAGACTGGGTCTAAGGTAGATATTTTGTTAAGGTACAGGCCACTTGAGGACAGATACTGAGGCACTTTTGGGAAGGGGATAAGCAACACAAGTGAGAGTAATTCTATATGCCCTTTTGTAAGTATATAGCTACTGCCTTTCCTCTGCCAGCTGCAACAGATCCACTGAAGAGAGGTTGCATCACACAGTTCAGGGTAATTAGACCCTGCAGTTCAGGATTATTTTAATATACTTGAAGATGGGGGGGGGGGGAACCCTTTCATTTTCTAATTCACACCTAAAATAGAGCAAGCAGCCTGGCACTCAAGTCTGTAAGACTGCTGTCATCTAAGGTTACCCACCCTTCAGTGTCTTCCACAGGGCCTGTCCCAGCTCTGACCACAGGATTCCAAATTCAGTAGAATTCAAGTCCATAACTGACCTTTTTTAGCTAATGGAGTGTTCCCAGAGGAAAGAGACACATACAATAAATTTTCTAAATGTGTGGTCAGTGGGATGGGGGAGAAGAGGGTACAAATTCTGGCTGACTTGTCAAATCTATAAGACCCCAAAATGAGAAGAATATAAAGAAAAGACCAAGCAACCAAAACACAGGGTGCAGCTGATGCTCCATTAAATGTAGCAACACACCAGATAATCAAGGCTTTTGCCCCACCATGAAAATGCTTAACAAAACAAAATCATTTCTTTTCCTTACTACTGCTGCCACCTTCTTCTCACTGCTGTGGGTAGAAGATGAGACTTTTTATTTAATGCCCCACTGGGCTCCTTGTGCCAACAAGCTAGGGACTTGTTCCCTAGCTGGTGTGGATTTATTTTCTCGTCTGTCCTGTACCCGACTCCCACACTACTACTAGAACAACCATATACAGAGAAGAGCTAAATAACACCAGCCCTACCCCCAGTTTGTACACAAGTTATCCAGAGTGTCCACAAAATCCATCTCTGCTTCAGAGCGCATGTGGGTACTTCTGTGTAACCTGCTGCATGGCTACAGATGGGGGACGTGCCAAACGTAGGTGCATCATCTTCAGTAAGAGGAGGACATACAGCACGTTAAGAACGGCCCTTCTCCCACAGAGAACATGCCCAGAGAGGAAACAGAAGCCATCAGCAAAGGAGCAGGAGAGGGGCAGGCCTACCCCGACTTACAGGGCAGTAAAGCAGCCCTTGCCACATAGAACAACCAGGTCCCCTCACAGGCTGTGTCACTTGTTGATAAACACTGTTGCGACACATGAAATGAAGCAAAACTGTAAACATTCGTGCACATCCATGACAAAAGGAGCATAAAGACACCTCTCCACGCACGGGAAGCTCCCACAAGGGGCCAGGAGAGGGAACTGTGGTGGTGGGAAGGCAGACACCGGCGAGTCCATGGCGTGAGGAGGTCCCAGTGACCTGTTCTGGGTGCACAGCACAGCAATGAGAGTAACAGCAGGGCACCAGGAAATGGCAAAAAAAGTCAATTCCATTTTGCAACATGGTAAAGGGCTTCTTTTTCTGTTAAGGCCAAACTGCTACCTTTTGTACATGGAAAAAGGGCAATCAATGATCAACAGTAAAGTTCAGAACTCCAGAGCACCTGAGTTCAGTCCACAACAGCAGTACATATGCGACAATCCTTCCTCTTAATATTCAACACACAGAGTTCAAAATCCAAGAAGTGTTCTAGAAAATCCACTCATAAAAGCTTAAAACAAAAAAAAATCCCTCAGAATCTGCCAGGTTCTTACTGACTTCCCAGCATCCCGCGATACAGGTGGGATAGGAAAATGTAGCGAGAATATCCTAAAACAGAATGTGCTAAAATCACTTCATTCTCAGATCACTTAAGAAACAGGCTCATTAGGAGACAGACTCTAGATAAGGTTATTTAGAAGTAAAGTACCTTGTCTTTGTGCTTTATGAAGGGTAAGCTTCCTGTAAGCTCACATTTTGATTTTTACATTATCCAGAGTTTCCTTTCACCTATCTCCATCTGGTCTAAGCCACAGTGCCAGCACGAACCCTCAGAGATGTGTCAGTAGCTTTGCCTGGAAAGCCTAAGGTCTTGCCCACAGAGCTGCAGTACGGACACCGACAGACACTGAAATGCACGCTGAAAGATCCATTTGCAGTTGGATCTGACGTTAACTAACGTGTATGGCAATACTTAAAAGCTTTCTCTCCACACACATTTGAAGTGTTGTGACAGCAGGGAGAGGGATTTACTTTTTGCCAAAGTAACCTTCTCGTCATTTCTGAATCTGTAAATTTAGCTAATTACAGATTCAGAGTCGCAAAAGAAATCGCACTGAACAACACTCCCGGCCAAGTCAGGAACAGACAAATAGAGGAGATGTTTAATGCTGTTTTGCTCAGTTACTAGAATCCATTGCTTTATGTATCTGGGATTTTGTCACAGCCAAGACCAAGTTAGGACTAAATACACTCTGTGCTTAACCTGGGAAAGACGATACAGACTGCAGCATGATACAGGACAGCATAGCATTTATCCTTTGAATTGCACAGGAGGCGTTGGCCTCACTTCCATGTAGTTTTGCTTTATCTTTGCTGAATATACCCTGGTATCAGAGTACTGATCAGAACAGCACCGTGTCCAGCATGGATTTTGCACCTCTGGTACCTCAAGGGTGGCAGTAAAGTGGGCCAGGCAGGAGCGGAGCAAATGGATTCTCAAACCAGCAAATAGCAGTGTCCCTCCCACCCTCCTGGGCAGCTGAAGCGAAGCCCCGTCCTGCACCTCTCCCCCAGGAACACCAGGATGCTCAGAAATAATACAGCTATAGAGAGGCAGCATCTTTACGGGATGGGGCTCCAGTAAATGTTAGGGGCCAAAACTGGTGTAAGCAAAGAGGTAAGAATAAGCACGCTCCCACTGGGGCTTAGGAGGAACCTGTGAGGTTACGAGGAGCAGTGCTGTACCTGAGAGGAAGCTGAGACAAAAGGGAGACCAGCCTCTCGCTACAGGACTCAGGTTGACTAATATTTGTTAGGGAGGGCTCGGGGGCACAACGGGGAGTGACAAGACAGCACAGCTGCAATAGCGCTCAGTCTGGGAAGCCAAAAACTCCAGGGGTTGGCAGCAGCTGGCTCTCCCCTTCCCCTGGGGACTCTCTGTTCCAGTTCCTAGAGTACAAGCACCCCTTTCTTCAGCACCTGCACTTAGTTCTTAAATTTGCAGAATTTTTTTATTTTTTTTTTTTAAAAATACCCCTGTACTTTAATCACGAAAAACCAGTCCCCGCCCCAATTCTACTAAAAACATGATTGTCCATAGCTGGAGGCTTATTGAACGACCTCACCCCATCACCATTAAGTTACTCAAATGTCCAATTAAACAGCAGGCAGCTCAACCTTTAGGTAACACAACTACAAAAATCGGATCGTGCTCTCTTCTCTCTCCCCCCTCCTCCTCCTCCTCAAGAGAGCTCCGTTACTTTTTTCTAAGCGCCAGCGCTACTCCGACTGCTACAGCTAATATAGCTACCGCAGCAGCCCCACCATACAGCAATATAGATTTCCCTTCTGGCAATAAGATAGGCTTCTCCTCTGCAGCGGAGGATTTCTCTTCTATTTCTTCCAAATGGCCCTCTTTCCCCACTTTTTTTTCCCCTGGAAGGAGTATTTTCTCAGGTTCTGGTGCAGCCTTTTCTTCTGATGGGGCTAGCTTTGGGACAGGTTTACTTATTATGGGGATTTCAGGTTCAACAAGCTCTTCAGCCACTTTTCCCTTTTCCTCCTGTTTTGCCCGCAGAAGTGCAGAGGGATGTGCTTTTTCAACAGCAGCAATTTCAGCTTGAGGTTTTACTTCCTGTAAAGAAGCAGGGGTTTCTGGAAACGCTGCCTGCATGGTCTCTGCAGTGACAGCTGACACCACTGCTTCCTCAATCCCCTCCGGTATCTCTTCCTTCTCCACGTGAACAATATCTGAGTTGGAAGAGTTGTTCTCACTCCTTTCTTCACCCCCTCCGTTGCTGTCCAGGCTTTTGACTTCTTCAGGATCCATGGCCACTTGCTGCCAGGACTCGGGTCCCAGGGAGACTGGCAGGCTCTCTGTGTGCCAGCTCTGACTCGCTGACAGGGAGACGGGCAGGCTCTCCGACTGCCACGACGTGGTCACCGTGGGGGACTCCGGGGGGCTCACCTGTCCCGAGTTGTCACTGGTCAGGATGTAGATGTCATTACTGTCCTCTGCAATGAGCCCAGGGTACTCTTCCTCTTCAGATTCCAAAGTAAAGACCGTCCCCTACGAACAAAAAGGAGGACACAACACGTGAGTGGTGGCTTCAGCACTACCTCCCCTGTACGGGAAGGAACAGGACACCTGGAAACTTAGTGGGGCTGGAAGAAAGATGAGAGGGCCTCTGCAGGAGCAGCAGTTGTCTGACCTACATTTTAGAAGGGATTACAGAACCCAACTGGCATGTCCAGAGAATGGAACCACTTACAAGAGTTTTGCTGGGACCTCCTCCTCTCCCTGACACTACTGCATCATCGTACATCACCAAGACTTACCATGTGGGCATTATTAACCAGAGAAGAAGATACCAAAATCTGAAACCAAACTGAAACAAAACAAAGAAAAAGAAAGCAAACACAAGTACATGAGCCCAGCTGAATACCACTCCCTTCTCCATTTTGTGCAAGTGCTCTGTATTGCTTGTCCATTTTCATTTAACAGTGTTTCTCTTACATTAATTTTATCACATTTCCAGTGCTATCTGAAGCCTGTATTTCTACGTTGTACCAACAAGCAGGAATCTACAGTAATTCTAATATTTTACTACAAACAAATTTAGCTGTTCTTAAATGAGTTCACTTTCCAAGACTGTCATCATAACTTTGGCTACACAAATTAAGTTAAAACAAACAACTGAGCACAGACATCCAAAGGTGCTGACAGGGTTTACTTTTTTTATTTAGCTAGGAAAAATCTGTAGGCATCCTAAAAATTTGACAGTGGGCTCCAGTTAGAGAAACTGCAAGTGTAAAATACTGATTCCCTCCTTACAGAAAGGACAGCATTGTTGATCCTAGTCATGCATGGACTGCTAAGTATGTAACACAGAAGAGATTTGCTTCAAGGGGAAAGAGGAAAAAAAAATTAAGCGCGTAAGAAGAACCTAGGATGGGTGTGATACCAAGAACGTAAAAACAAGAGATAAGGGCAGCCAGGAACCCCAAAGTTTGCTATGCCATGTAACAGAAGTCTGTGAAACCGTTAACAAAGATTCAATTACCTTCTTGCTTCTAAAAATTATTAGAACATTTTATCAGGTACTGCAGTGCTGGAAGTCCCTTCCGTGCAAGTTCCTCATTCAATTATCAAGCTTTCCTGTACAGTCCCACCATAATGTGACGAAAAAAATTTTAAAATCCATTCATTCTCTTTCTCCCTGCTCCCTTCCACACGCAATAGTTCTCCTACAGCACTGCAAGCAGTTGTCCCCCTCTTTTTTAAACCCTTCCTGACACCTGTGAATTTGGGGGTTGGTTCTGCTCCAGTCTCCTAACAACGGTTTCCCATTCCAAGACACCTCCTCAGTTGTTCCACAACTTTTTATGGATCCACACAGTGGTCTGTGTCAGGAACTGATCCAAGTTAAAAACAAACACATTCTTTATTTTGCAGAGTTGTTTTTAACCCCGATCAGTGTCCAGCCTGGCCCACTGAGACGCCCCAGTGTGCGAGCGTGACTAGGGGTGGAGCAGGGCCAGCAGCTGCACCTGCTCACACTGATGCCAAAGGAGCCGAATCGATACCAGTGCCCTGCTTAGAAAGCAGAAGGAAAATGCATTTCAGCTTTGGAAACTCCCAATTATCACTTAGTCCCTAATATGCCAGGAGTCCATGGCCTGCAAGTGAATGGTTTCTAACTCAGAGCAGGCATACTTGCAGAGCTCGTAGCACCTGGGCCAGCAGCAAGGCACTTTTCCCTCAGGGAAGCACAAGAGGCCCTGGACTCTCCACAGACACAGGTGGACTCTCCAAGGACACCAGACACACTACAATTCCTCGCTTCCCTAGAAGGGGGAAGGATCTCCACACACACCAAAAAAACCCACCAAAAAGCAAGTTGGCAGGCACAGGAGAGACAGCACAAACATTGCTGGTGGTTGGCAGTAGGTGCAGTGGGAGCAAATGAAGCAGGAGTAGAGCCCCAGCAAAAGCACTAACTGGCACTTGAGAGCTGTGCAACTTAAGGCAGTAACACTTTAACCTCTCATGGTGGAAATTATTACTGTACCAATAAACTTAGTGTAAGGGGGTCAGTGGAGCCTAAGCTGAGTATGGGAGTGAGGTTTCTCTACCCACTCCCCCCAAACACCTTGCCATTTTGGAAAACTTGATGGACCCATTCCTGGACACTTCTGGACAATGGTGGAGGCTATAGTACAGGACACCACTGGGAACATCAAGATTTCGTAATGTATTTTGGCAGGGGTAGGATCTAAATCTCCTCAGCCCATGGAGTTCTGGAATATGTTTGTGCATGAATAAAGGAATCTCACAGAACACTTCAAAAGGAACTTTTCTTCAAAAATGCCTTTAGATTGCTTGGATGTGGGAAGCATCATCTGGCTCAGTAACACATTCAGAAACTCTAAACAGAAACGGTACACGGAATTCCTCAGGGGAAGGTTATAAAAGCGATCAAGCCATTCACTAAGCACCTACGGATCTCCACAAAGTCTTGATTCAGAAGGAAATAAAAATTAATAAAGCATTAAATTTGTGAAAATGTTCAGACACCACACACAGGCCAACAAATCCAAAGAAGTTCTGCTCTGCAAGCAGTGACTGACAATTCAAGACTCCAGTACCCTCTTGAAAGTCATGTTTCACTAGAAGAATGACATTTTTGTCAAACGCAGCTCAGGCCATTAAAACAAAATGGAGCTCTACAACCTAGAAGGAAGCAACCAGCATTGCAAAGTAAGGGCAATGAAAAAGAAGAGCAAAGAAGCTTAAGTAAAGGCAGAGGTTACCAGATCGAAAGAGAGCAAATACTGAGCAGCGTGGGCCAGGGCTGCTGCTGCACAGCATGTGAGGACAGGACTCCACATGCAGCACCGACCTGTCCTGTTCCAGCAGACACTGGAGAGCAGCACAGCAGGGAGTCAGTCACTGTGGTTAGCTTCCACTCTGTGCTGAGAATGGAGACGCAGCCCGCTGCCCAGACACTCTGAGATTGCACATTCACTCCTTTGATCATCAGGATTTTCTCTCGATGTTGATTAAGTAGGAAATAGTCTCACTCTAATATAAGCTACTAACAGACACTTGTGATCACAGCAAATTTTTTATTTCCACAGGCAACACAGACTCAGAACAGCAGTTAAACAATGAAATAACTAGGGGTAAAACCTGCAATCTCATGAACCTCTACCCTTCCACAAATTGGAATGAATTTATTTCCTGTCCACAGTACAGCACAACAAACCAGACTACGTCTGTGATCTGACGCTAACATAAAGAACAGGGACGCACACACAACTGATAACAGCTCTTAACATACCACTGTTAGTGCACCCATGCTGCTGTGACTGGTTCAACATGAAGCATATAAAAAAATTATTCCAAAACAACTTCTACAGTTCTACGGGCTTGTGAACTCTGGCGATTGTAGCAAACTCCTTTTCAGCAATAAACTAAAAAAATCACCAACTAGGGCCATATTCAGACTGCCTGAATTCCCCTGAAGTCGTATACTGTACAGTGGCAAAAGCCAAGCACCTTTGAGCAGTGACTCAGCAGTCCACAGTAGGGAGGAGAGAGCTACCTATAGGCAATGGAGACAATCGGGTACAGAGACTGTGGTGAAATTTAAGCCATCCGGATACTCCTCAATACGTATTCCTCCAGCCTCTGCTTCTGCTCTATTCCTGATCCACCACTCTAACTCTTCCCTTTCCTCTCATAAGGAAAATCAAAGTTGTTCTCTAGAGGGAACCCACAAATGATTTGACCGTGATAAAAATGAACAAGTAATATGGACAAAGTACCATCACAGCTACTATGCGGACCACTAGGTGCCCAGGCCCATCAAAATATCTTAGCTCAGTATGATGTAATGCTAGATCCTCAGCAGGTTAACAAACAGATGGGGAGGCAACATTGACATACGAGGATCAGGCATTAGTTATTCTAGTTATTCCCACATATCAGGGCATTTTTTAAAGGCCACGTGCTTTGCTGAGCACTTTGACTGGAGTTATGCTTCTCACAAAATACAGATAAGATCTGGGCATATGCTGAGGGGTATGGGCAGGATAAACTGCATTGGAGAGGGTAAGGAAATGAAGGGATGGTAATACAGGGAACATGGGCAATCCTCAATATTTCAAAAACTCCATTAATATGTACGTGTACCAACACTACACACCCACCCTGCCTTCAGCAGAAGGGAGGGCCTAAAAGGCTCAAGCATTTTATTGTTCCTTTTCTCACACTGTACAGACTGGATTGACCTCAAAAGAGTTATCAGTCGCTGGCTCCCTATAAATCAGAGCCTTATAAAGCCTGGCTGATTCCTTTCTGTCTTTACAGACAATTTAACTTCCGTGTCAGTGCCTCGCGGACAAAACTCTCCAAGCTTGAAGAGACCAGATCACCCGAGGTTGGGAAACCTGGGGGAAAGCTAACACAATGAGTGTCAATGGGTAGTTTCACTACTTTTTCATTAAAAGCTTATGAAGTTTTAGTTGAAAAGCCAGACAGTAATAGGCATTATTTAGGATACATGATTAATATTTCTTGAGCTGAATTAAGAGTTAATTCAGAAAGTCAAGAGGATAAAGCTAGGATTTTGTGCTGATTCAGTTGAGGTTTGCACTTTTTTGTTGGTTTTTTTTGGTGTTTTGTTTTTGTTTTCTTTTCTTTTAAAGCAGCTGTAATAAGAATTGAATGACATTTAGGACAATTCCCTTGATCATCTACAGAAATGACCCAGAAGCAAAGCACCCACAGATTAATTCAGGACAGGATGGAACATGAGGAAGGATTTTTAATAACCTGAGGCCTTATATAAGCCCTACACTTTAGATTTAACTGTAAGTAAGAAATGTATGTAAGTGTTTCTTTATCTGCTTTGTTCATTGTAAACGGATAGTCTACTGCTCCAGACCAGAGAAATCGGAGTTCATCTTTTTCAAATTTGGGAGACTTGCAAATTTGTTTTCCTCATCCAGCATACTTACAGAACCACGTCAGGTATGTCTAGAGAAGCAAGAGCAAGTCCCTCA